TATCAGAGACAGGACTGACTGGTTCGTTCACGGAAGTGAGTAGATGATTCAAATCTCCTTCATTGGCAACATCCCCTGGATTATATATTGGATCTGAATTCTTCATTACATCTAGAAGTGGAATTCTACTAATTGACCCTTCCTGTTGTTCATCAGGAGAATCAGTTCCCAATTCCAAGAAGCACTCACACATGTCACTCAACAGTTTCATAACAGAAAACGTGGGGTCAATGATTTTATATGACTGCAGACATTTTTCCTCCATATATTTTATAACTGCATCACGACTAGGTATATGGAAATCTGGTCGTCCAAAAGCGGAGTCGCAGCTCAAAGAAATTTTTACCTCTCCTAGGGGCGACGATGCAATCTCTAAGTTAGGATGTACTTCTTCCGTGACAGTTGCCAGCTCACTGCCTGTAATCTTCTTACATGAGGTCTCCATACCATCACCTTTGTTACTTCCGTCTGAAGGAAGTGATGCTTGAGCAACTTGGCCATCCGGCTTCCTAACTGAATCATTTGCAATGGAATAAACTTCTTTTCTTGAAGAATCTGTTAAAATTTTCACAAAGGAAAACAATCCAGCGGTTAGAATTTAGAAATACCGTGCAGGTTGAAGATTCCACAGACTATCGTTTTACATGATTGCCTGCATTAGCAAAATGATCTCCTCATTCTTATAGGGGTTTCACATTGATAAATATTGATTCATTTTTAGCAATCGTCATACTCCAATAGTTTTTTTTTTTTTTTTTTTTTTTTTCCATTCTTTCACTTCAAGTAAATTTTACCGTTTAGGCAATTGGTTCTTTTAGCTTTACATAATACCTTAAAATTAACAATTTTATTTGTATAGCTGCACTTTCCATAACTTGCATTTGTTACAACTATGTCTGTGTCTTCAGTTTAAACTTCAGTGTTGAATTCTAATGCTTGGCTTGAACCAATTTGATTTGAGCATTAATAACTATGATGCATCGTAAAGTTAGGTATTCCAATATTTAACTTATGTTTTACTCCCTTTCCTGAGATAAGCAGCAACAGCAAGGAAAATTTTTATATTCTAAAACCCATGCCTTATTTTAAAGCTTCTTAACCTTGATTATCACATATTGCAGTTTAATGGATTTTAATTTCAATTAAACTCTAATTGCACTATCAATTACCGATACTTGCCTCAAATTAGAAAAAAACTCTGTTCTACCCTACAACATTATACTGTAATTTTGAACAAAATAATGCTAAACTGATCGAAAGAAAGTATCCAATGACCTGGATGAATCGCAGCAATAGGCATCTCATTTGTAAATGTATCATCTGTAAATGGCTCATCTTTAGGCTTGAGTAGTGCTTGAGCCCCAGATGCCCTCACTCTGGAATTTTTGGCACCTGACTCAGCCCCTGGTTCCTTAATACGCACAGCAGCAGATGGTCTCTCTAAGCTGGATTTTTTCACTCTTGCAACCACATGTGGTGATACAGGTTCCTTCCCTTTGTCTACACGACGAGAAGAACTTGGATCAGTTTCAGATCTCTTAGACCCACTTAACTGCATCTGCTGTTTGGGACATGTTTCAGGAAACACGTCCTCTTCCAATTTGGGCTTTTTTAAAGCCATCCCATCCACCTGGGTTTCTTGGCCTCTTAAGCGCAACCTTTTCAGAGGGCGTTCTGGCTCATCAGGCGCCTGAACCTCTTCCCCAAAATCTTCCACCTATTGTTAATAAAAGCAAAGGCAGCAAGTATCAGCACAACTAAGAGTGTCAAAATAAGACCTTCACATCAAGCAAGATAACGAGTACACACTTGAGAATTCTGACATTTCTTTTCCTCTATAGCCTGAAAGATGATGCATACATATGTGAGAAATATAAACTCAACGCATAAAGAGAAAAGGATACAATTAGAGGAGTTGCAGTAGAATGTACCTTACTATCTTCCTCGTCAAATATAGAATCTGCAAGAACTCTATAGTTCTCTTCTTCAATAAGTTCCCAGTTCTTATCATACAACTTCAGAAGTTTCTTTAAGACGGGTTTTGTCTTGTCTTCACTGATCCCAATATCCTTCATTGCACGAAAAGCCTTCAAAACCCGAGGATTCGGTGCCATATTTATTCCGATCCAAAGGACAAAGGTGCCTACATTTGTTAGAATTACATCAGGACTTTTTTACTTGATTGTCAGGGAGGCCCGTCTTATAAGCACTTTTCAAATACATTAGCATATTTGCACATTCTAAGCTGAAGGAATTAATGTAAAGAACCACCCTGATCATAGAGCATAGACTTGCCTGCTACGCCGTATGAAACATGAAAACACACAGCAAACAAGGCCCCTGAACACAAAGAAACTTATTGCATCCGTCAGTAGAGCATTTATAAGTTTCCTTCCATCCTACCCACATGCATCACTGACATCTCCTTCCGGATAGTTCCTGGAAATTTGCTAGAACTGCCAATCTGCAATATTGAAACATCAAGCGCAATGCAAGTTTCCATTGCAATATATGAAATTCTTATTTATGTTGCTCAACAAGAAGAAAAATTATATTCTACCTCAAACATTACAAGTTAAAGCTGAAACTTTCTCTGTGTTTGACTCGGTGCAGGCAGAACAACAATATATGGACAAAGAACTAAATATACTGTAACAAGATTATTCAATAAAACAGTATGACATGTTATCCATTGTTTTCAAACATTGAAACAAATATCCAAAACGCTTCTCGAAAGCATGAGAAGTGAACACGTCTACAAGAAACTTTTCGCAATTAAGAACAAAAGAAAAAGAATACCAACTACCAACTCTAAGGTAACAAAGAGTAGAAACCATTTTTGTTAAAAAATAATATGAAAATAATAAAATAAAATAAACACAACAAAAACGGAATTCTATATCAAAACTTGGCTACAGCAAGCAGCAAAATGCATACGTTTTTGAGGTCATTCGTCATGGGTTCAAAGTTTCAGATCAACGCGACAACCAATTTAAAACTTTTTTCATAAGGATCCCAGCACCAAATAATCAAAGAGGGAAAGCTCGGCCATGATATCATAGTAATTCTCGAAAGTCTAAATCAGCTACGGAAATTACATTTCAGGAAGAATGGCAAATAGCTAAAGATACACTGTGTTCTTGGCTAAGGTAAGCAAGTCTAAAGCAGCTGTGGTCAACCAGACAGTAAAAGAATATGAAATACAAGAATGCATGCAAAATTAACTGGAATATCTTGATCGTTACGGGTATGGGACTAAAAACCGTGCTATTAAACTGATAAACATAAATTTGTCGATGAAATCTTACAATCGAAATTAAAACCCTAAAGCCCAACAAGTAAAAGAATCACAAGCGAAGAATTTACCAAGTAAACAGAAATGAGGAAGGCAAAACCTCGAAGATCATTCGGCCCGCGAAACCCGAAAGTTGTCCGATACTCCAAGAGGGGAGAGAGCTGGAAAACAAATGCATAATGGGTTTAAGTGAGAAGTAGGTTCACGTTGAGTGAAGCAAGAAAATGGAAAAATGTGGTACAGAAATGGAAGAAGAAAGCAGTTCATCTAGCAGGCGGGAAAGAGAGATGGAAGAGGAGAAAATCATTTGAAAAATGAGCGCCGTGGTAGAGACAAAGCAGGAGAGGTAAAGGGAGAATAAAATGGAGGAATTTTACAGACCAGTGAAAGAATTCATGAGAGAGTCGGCTCTTGTCTGACAGCGTCTGATGGCGGGCACACGGGAGCGCCTGCTTTTGTAAGCGCGGAAATGGAGCGAGTGCTGAGAGGCGCAGCGACTAAACCACGTTACAACAATTTTTTTTTTATATGTATAATTACAAATTACCAAAATTATCAAGACAACCAAACATTTAATCTATTTATAGATTTGTTCAGTTGAATGCATAGATATAATTATTACAACATGTTTATTTTTCATCTCTGTAATTACTCTTATATCTTATATTTTAAGTATCACTGATTATCTAATGAATAATTTGTTTACGATCTAGTCCTAAACTGAGTCTCTCTTATATTAATGAAAGAGGGAAGTCGAGTTGTTTGAGTTCTCAATTTGATGCGAAACTACTCATCTATTTATCACCGTGTGAAAAAAAAATTGAATTATATCGAGTTAAATTATATTTTAAAATTCATATATGGCAAAATTGCAAAATTGTAAGGTTGTTTTCCGTTACAAAAAGTCACTCTCATGCACGCTAAATGATAGGCTCTGGCGTGAATAATTAATAACTCACTTGTGAATGAGATACGCGTGTAACCATATGCGAATAATACAATATATGTATAAATGAATATTAAATATTTCGTAGTTTTGTTTCGTACCAAATTCATTGTATATGATACTTACCCGCCTTATTTCATATGTCTTCATGTATTCATAACAAATCATCTGCAACGACTACAAAATAAGTCATATCAATAGTGTCGTTGGGGTAAGACACCCAGTCTTGTCCATGAATTATAGACCATTTATGTAATTACTCGAACACGATCATTTCATCCATTGCGTACCATTTAAGATACAAGTACCAACCTTCTAACCTTGTTATTTGAATTACGAATAAATTAATTAAATAAAAATTACGAACAATTTCGTATTAATTTGAATGAGAACGAGATCAAATAAGTTAATAATTAAATATAAAAATTTTGATTGGGTTGGATTTAATCTAAACTAATATGAACTAATTCAATTCATAAATAATTCATAAATTATTTATTTAGTCGATCAAATAAGTTAATAATCTAATTCAGGACCGTTGGATTAATTGGGTTGTCCTCAAAAAAACCGAAAAAAAATATTTAATGAAAAAAAGTTGGGAATAAAAAAAAAGGGGGAAAGTTTTGGGATTGGGCTGGGCCGGACAAATCCGGTCCAGTAAGGCATTATAGCGCAATGGAAGGTGGATAACGGTAATATATGTATCAGCCCTTGTCGCCCAATTGCCCTCGGCCTGGCCTCGCAGTCGTCTCCCTTATTAAAATCGTTTCCTCTCAAATTCACCTCTCTTCCTCTCTCACTCACAAATTCTCAATTCCGCTTCGCATTTCATTAACTCTTCTTCTTCTGCTTCCTCTGGTTTCCGGTAAGTTCTCTTTTCATTTTATTTCTTTATGCCCCAACACCCTTCCCTTTCTCCTTACGCCGCTTTCTTATTTAGCCACTGTTCCCCTAGATTTAGCGTGCTGGAACATCCATCAATTTCGCTTCCTGTTATGTTTGTCATTCTACTGCTCTAGTACGTTTTCAAGTGATTGTGTTATTACTTTTTTGTTTGTTTGTTCGTTTGTTATGCCATGCTCTTCCGTGCCATTTATATTATCGAATGCATACAGGAAAGGTAAAAAAAAAAAAAAAAAAAAAAAGAAACCAGCATCTATACATATTCTGTTAAGTACTTGTACGTCTGTATATTATTTGGATTAGCTTTAAACTAGTATACAAACCAGAGTTTATGCTTTTCAAATCAAGGGTATCGCAGGAATATGTTGGGATTCGCTGTTTAATTCAAGCACTATGTTTTTCTTTTTTCTGGGTCTAGCTGCATTCTTTTTTTGAAGGCCACATCCTTCTGCTCTGGGTTTTCTTTTTTGTCTGCGCTTCTCCGCATCAATTCTATGTGATAGTTGTTTAATTGCATGCAGTTAGGCTATCAAAGAAATAGTTCTGTAGTTTAAGCATGGGGGACAGTGAAACTGTAGTTGCCCAAACATCTGACGTCATGGGGTATGCATCTGCTGGATATGTTTCGAGTGGCTATTCTGATAGCAGTGCAAATCTAATTCCTCAACCGGGTGCTTTTCAATCTGGGATCACTGGGGACTTTTCTGTTTCACATACCTCTGCAGATATGGGCAACGGCAATGCATATGTTACGGATCCCAATTCTCTTCAGCAAGGAAATCATGTTGGAGAGGTGGATGCGACAAAGTCAGATGTGGTAATGACTGACCATATTCAGAATGCTGCTGTAGCAGAAACTTCAGGAATGGAAACTGCTGAAGTAGCCAGTCACGATTCTTCTTTAAATAGGAGCGTTGCTGCCTCATCAGTTAATGCTTCATCAATTGAGAATGGAAGTGTTATTGAGAATGCCAATGATGCTTCTGAGGAACAACACTTTATTGATGGTTCTGGTATGTGTCTCCCATTTTAGTTTTCTGCATTTTCATGGGATTTTCGTTTGGACAAAAAAGAATTTTAACAAATTGGGCGGAAAAATAGAAAGTCAACCTAAAAGGTGCTGCAATTTGAAGGGTGCACAAGTAGATGTGTTATGTTTCTGAACTATTAAGAGTAATGATGCTCCTTGAGAAGCATTGAGTATTTCTGCATTTTGTTCTATATAAAGATATGTGATATGCACACCTATCTTTTTAAAATATTAAAAAATTTACTCAATTATTTCCCTTCTAGGCATGATATTATATTAAATTCTTTGTGCTAGTTTTCCATCTGAAGGCTCTCGTTGTAGTATAAAAAAAATATAATCAGTAAGCGACCTACTTGTAGGCTCTCGTTGAATTTCATCATTGTGATGATTTTTTAAGCTATGGGCTCATATACTAATCTTAGCGTCATCCAATACCCTAACATGTAGCTTGTACTAGCTCTATAAGACTTGTATGTACCTAACCCCTATACACTCCTACTTTAGGGGTGTATACCTAACCCCCTTGGGGCCTTAATATAGGGTTTCAGATATGCTTATCTCTATGTTTTCGTTTTCTAAAGTCTATCATCAACCTTGCGCTAATTGCGTGTAAGTCAAAATATCCTTGCAACGGGCCTTGGGGTAAGTCTCGTGCGTATGAGGTATATTGTCCTCTATAAATAGACGAGTACTCTGACCGTTTGTACCTCATATGTATCTGTCTACTAGGTGCTCCCCAATAGTATTCCCAATATGGCCCTTGGGACCCTTTGTGGGTAACAACTTTACTATGTGTACCAAGTACACCCTAACCTCTCTAGGAAAGTTTATGATTAGAATGGTTCCTACTTTATACTTGGTGAACGTAAAGTGCCCATAGGGCCCAAATGTAGGTTCTATGACTCGGGAAATGTAAAACAACAATTCATGTTCATTCTTATATCCTTCCAAACTCTCTAGGACACATAGCGGATATTGAATGAATTAACTAGGCATACACGAGTGTCTAACCCTTGTAACATGCTCCTATGGGTGTATCATGCATGTATAAATGTCCAACATGCTTGATCAAACGTAGCAATCATACAAAACATGCTGGGGTCCTAAAAATTTCATTAGGACTAATCAGAGCTCTCAAACATGCAAGCGAAGCTGTAAAACATATTATCATGCTAAACCGGAAAACTATCAAGTTTCTAGGCTTAGCTACCATACATCTTGGTCAGTTAGGCCTATAGTCATGCTTTCTAACCAGTAGCCTAAATGTTCTTATCGACTCCTACAAGTATGGCTTGAAAAACAATCCATATGGCTACTTACATGTTTTTCAACTTCTTAGGCTCGGATTGGGTCTTCAAGAATTTTCAAAATATATCAAAAGTCCTTAATTAGGTTCTACATTAAGGGAAAATATCAAAACCATTGAAATCGAGGCGAAAATCATGTAAAAATAGTGTAGTTTTTGGTTCGGTTTGACCAAAACTAGTCCAACCAAGCTGGTTAGATCTGGGTCAAGTGAATCGGTCCTCCTTCGCCTTCTTCACACTTTGCTTACCTGTTGGCGGCTTCTCTTCTCCGGTCTTTGCCAATTTTCTCTCCACGGTTCTCGAACGCGTTTGCCTTCTTCATGTAACCCAAAGATATCCTTGATATGAACCTAACCATTCCAGATTTGTGAGTTTTTGTGTAGAATCGAGTGAACTACAACCGTTAGAATTTTTTGGGTTTTGAGCCAGCAATTGCAGAGGTCGATACTCAACCTCAGGAGCTCCTTCGTTCAAATCCGTCCAACCACCTTCTCCCACAAGGTCCCTTAGATGAAAACCCCACAGTTTCAAGTTGTATTGCTTTCTCGGAGGGGCGAATTGACATTTGTAGTTCTTTTGGTGACAATGGGCGTTCAAGTTGGGGTTCTCGGTTCTTGCTCACGAGTTTTCTCTTCCAATCACCTTCCCCTTGCTTTTAAACCGCCATAGGGTCCCCAATCTTCCCAGAATCCGGCCAAAAACCAGTCCAAAGCAAGCTCCCCCCTTTCGTGCACGCTATTGCTGTCACACACTGTGGTTGGCAACGACAGTATACGGTGGTAGTTGAAAACGCGTTTCAGCACTTTCCTTTTCCTTTTTATTTTTATTTTTCTTTTCCAGCTGTTATTATTATTATTATTATTAAAAAAGAATCTTCCTCGTTAATCCACCAGTGTCAACTTCAGATGTCCATTATATATATATATATATTTTGGTGTTACACCATTATTGTCTAATACCATGGTTTACGAAAACAAGGCATCGATTCATATTTCATGTCAGAGCTCAGGGTGAGAGCTTGTTCTCAACCTGTATATTTAATTATTTATATGAAGAAAATAATTTCACATTTATCTTACCATTTTTTTGTTTTCATGTTTAGCTTACATGATTACTAAACTTCTTTCTATTTTAACACTGTAATCAGTACTCACTTTATTATGTTGCCTATAGTTTTTTAGAGAAGAAACTCAACCTCTCGATGATATTTTGTTACCTAATATTTTTTGGCAGTACCTCCACTATCTGCTGAAGAAGATAGACTCTGGAACATTGTGAGGGCCAGTTCTTTAGACTTTAATGCATGGACTTCTTTGATCGAAGAGACAGAGAAGGTGGCAGAGGTATGCAAGAATGAATGTTAGCAAGTTGTACGGTTTTACCATTTTATGTTTGAACTTGGCATTGGTGGGATCTATAACGAACTACTAACAAAGGCACAATATATTGGCAGTCTTATCTTCAAATTTCATCAACCACATGGACGCTGCCACAAAGCTTAATGTGATGCAGCCTTTTATTTGTCTTTATCTCTTTAATTTTGTTGGCGACGTTGGGAACTCCTGACATATTTTGTGGTAATGATTGAGGAAGCAGTGTGGAATTTTTCCATGACTTGCAAACTTTTGACTCATGTCTGGGTCATGCATGCTAATAATCCACACAATCAACTTTTTTTTTTTTCTCAGCTATGTCCTCAAGTATTGTAGGTATGATATAGCCTGCAATATTATTAGGATAATGTTTAATTGATTTTTCACATGAAGAGTGTTGATATTGAGGCTTTATCCATAGGAGTGGTGTATTTCTTCCGTATTTACATTTTGGACATCCAACAGTCATAATATGCTTCCTTGTAGTGGAAACTAATATGCTTTACTGATGCAATGGAAGAATTTACGTTGATAGTCTTTCTTTGAGGGGTATCTTTCTCTGAAGCCTAACATTTGCCTAAGAATTTTCTCTTACTTCCCTCTCTTTTACAGAATTTTCTCTTACTTCCCTCTCTTTTACAGTCCACAGTATTACACTTGGCCAACCCACTGGTTTTCCCTACCACATGTTAGGGCATTACCAATTTTCTAACAAAATATAAGCTAAAAATTATCTACTTTCTTAAAGATTTGTATTGGGAGGCTTATATGTAAACAAAATATCTTTGATAGTATTTAGGGGTGCAATCTGAAACTATAAGACCGACAAAACTGACAATATGTCTAACTTGGTTCCTCTTGATAGAATTAAAGCCAAAAATTAGTTGGCTGGTTTGGCTTTGACAGATCTTATTAGTTTTGGTCAATTTGTTCAATTTTGTTTGTTTTAGGTTAGTATTTGTGTCAATCTCTTTTATAAATTGGTTTTGGCATTGGTTTTTCATTTTTCTCAAACTGATAAGTTGGCTTGGCATTGGCCTGGATGGACTTGCAAGCCTTTTAATAATATTTAATGTTGATGGTTTTCAGAAAAATAGTGTGTGGTAAATATGATCTCTGGTAATTATGATGGATCTATTGCAAATAACATGGATTTTTTCATCCACAAATTTATGAGCCTATATTGTTAGTGAATATCTTAACCCAACATTTGGAGTTCAGAGAAAAGTTTTGTGATTTCCAAGAAAATACATCTAAAGAGTTGTATATGTCGAGCAGAATTTTACATTTTATATTGATTCTTCAGAATTTGATATTGACTGAATTTTGCACTGGAAAATACCCCAGTTCTAACGATCTCATGTGGGCCAAACTCATATGCCTATGAGAAGACTTATTCCAGTTTAAGAGAATTTGCTTGGATTCTTTTCAGGATAACATACTCAAAATTCGGAGAGTGTACGATGCATTTTTAGTGGAATTTCCTTTATGCTATGGTTATTGGAAGAAGTATGCAGATCATGAGGCCCGTTTTGGATCTACTGACAAAGTTGTTGAGGTGTATGAACGAGCAGTACATGGAGTCACTTACTCAGTTGATATTTGGCTGCATTACTGCATATTCGCTCTTAGTACATATGGAGATCCAGAGACCATCAGAAGGTATTGCCTTCTGTTTCTGATGGCATTCGTGTTTTTTCCTGAAGTGCCATTACTATGATTCTTAGCTACTTGGACCTGATAACGATCTTTTTCTTTTTGCTTGTAACCTCGTTTTAGATGGCTGTACCAGTGATTTCCTACGTGTAAGGCGGAAAGATTTGATTGAAATGTATATTGGAATTGCATGTTCCAATGTGCATTCCCATGATTTGGGGCTACACTGTTACTTGCCTTTTCTAAAGTTATTTTTATTGAAAGAAATAGTGTCAATCTCCTGTTGTCTATTATGGCTTATGCCTTAGTCTGTAGTTATGAATGAACTACGGCAGTTCTTTAACCTTTGTCTACTGAGGTACATCAATATACAAATTGCTGCTGGGAATATCTCGTTCAGTTATGGGTTAAGATGGCCTCTATCATTGCTTCATTCACCGACATAAAATGATTTTTAGGAAGGTAAATGCAGCATGCAGAAGTGTCATATGCTGTTATTAGAGTAAATTGTTCCTTCACCTTCAACCCTAGTGCAGTTACTCTTGTGGATACTTTTGCATCACTTGATGATCTTTGTTTACATAATAACCAATTTCCTGGTTGATGATGTTTCAGACTTTTTGAGAGAGGATTAGCTTATGTTGGGACAGATTACCTCTCATTTCCCCTTTGGGATAAATATATTGAATACGAGTACATGCAGCAGGAGTGGGGACGCCTTGCCATGATATATACACGTATACTGGAAAATCCAAATCAACAGTTGGATCGTTATTTCAATAGGTGAGTATTGCACATCTTGGCAATATTACGCTGTTCTGATAATTTGATATTGCCCTCAGTGATCTGAATTCTTTTGCTTTTGAACTACGATAATACAGTTCTTCTTTTGATATTGCCCTTCGATGTACTTGTTGTACTTTGCTAAGTTAATGTTTTTGGGGTTATGCACCCTTTCGTTGTTGAATTGCATTTTGTGCGAGGAAAAGCTAATTTAGATAGATGGTTTCTTATTAGAATGAAGCCTCTGGGCTCTTTAATTTTTAGTTATGACTGACCCAATGGTTTATTGAATTTCTTTCCTTGATAAGCAAGCTAAAATACTTTTTCCCCTTGGATCATAATGCAAATGTGTAACAGTTTTAAGGAGTTAGCTGCAAGTCGACCATTGTCAGAATTGGAGAGTTCTGAGGAGGCTGCTGTCGATGTGCAAACAGAGGTTGGTGATCAAGTAAATGGGGAGGAAGGTCGTCCTGATGTCACGGAACCATCGTTTAAAACTGTAAGTGCTGGCTTAACAGAAGCAGAGGAGTTGGAGAAGTATATCGCCATTAGAGAAGAAATCTATAAGAAAGCTAAAGAGTTCGATTCTAAGATCATTGGTTTTGAAACAGCTATCAGAAGGCCCTACTTTCACGTTCGGCCACTAAATGTTGCAGAGCTTGATAATTGGCATAGTTACCTGGACTTTATAGAACAAGAAGGAGACTTAAATAAGGTACTTTAGCTTGTTTCCGATTTTCAATGTGTATATTTTCTAGTTTCTAGTCGTCCTCGTTATGTATTGACTTACAGTTAAAAAATATCTTCTGCATCATATGCTTTACTGGCTAAACCATTGGATGAAGCAACTATTTAATCGGCAATTTGAACTGAGACTAAAGCAGGCTTTAAGGCTAAGTACTTCAAACTCTCATTTATCAGTGGAGATTCTAGGTTCATGATGTGTTTGTACGGTAACTTTTTAAAATTCCAATGTTATGCATGCAGGTCTCTTATCTTCCTAACCATCTGTCTGTCAGGCAAGGAGGGTCCCTCATCTCATGTTTGAGGGGCCTCTCTATTCTTCTGAGGAGTATTTCTGTTGCATATCTCTTTTCTGTTTCTTGTCACATCTTTACACAATGTATTTTTAATATAAAGACCATTTTATATGTTCTTCCATTTTTTTGTTTGAAATTTTTGTGAACAGGTGGTGAAATTATACGAGAGATGTGTGATTGCTTGTGCCAACTATCCTGAGTACTGGATACGATATATTTTATGCATGCAAGCAAGCGATAGTATGGATCTTGCCAACAACGCCCTTGCTCGGGCAAGCCAAGTTTTTGTCAAGGTAGGCAACACATGCATCTGCCATTTTACCTAACCTTATGATAACTGGTTGTAGTTATCATGATTAATGATGGTGCAATCGTGATCATAATTTTCTAATAGTGTATATACGATGTTTCCATTTTATGCATGCAAGCATGGAATTAAAATGTACCCCCTTTTCCTTATCTTGATTTACATGTGATTATTGAAACGTGTAAAAAGAACAAACAAATAGGGATTCTAGATGTCTTAGACAAGGCGACCCTATATCTCCTTTCCTTTTCCTCCTAGTGGTTGATTTTTTGAGTAGAATTGTCTCCATGAGTGTTGAAGAAAAAGTGGTCGGGGGTTCAAGGTTGGCAAGAAAGTGCCTTTATCCCACCTACAATTTGCGTACCATATTATTTTCTTTTGCTCAAGGAAAGAGGAACCGTTTTTGGTGCTGAACCATATTCTTGCATTCTTTGTTGGACACCTCTCCCGTTAGTGACCTTGTTTTCTTGGGTCTCTGGAAGATCAATATTGCGAAAAAAGGTTAAATTCTTTGTTTGGCAGGTTATCTACAGTCGTGTTAACACTTTGGACGGACACTCAAGAATTTGACCTTCATTGACTGACTCATCTTTTTTGTATCCTTTTTCGGAAAGTGGAGGATGACGTAGATCATTTCTTTTGGAGATGTGATTTTGCCGCTCCATGAGGAGTTTTCTTTTTTGGGCGTTTGGATCAGTTGGCTGAATGAGATGATTGAGAAGTTCCTTCCCCTTTAGTCGTTTTGGGAGAAGGGTTGTTTCTTGTGGCTTGCCAGGGCGTGTGCTTTATTGTCAGATCTTTGGAATGTGAGGAACATTAGAGTGTTCTGAGATTTGGGAAGGGACCTGAGTGATGCATGGTCCCTCGATAGGTTTCGTGTTTCTCTTTGAGTTATGGTTACAAAGATTTTTTTTTTTTTTTTTTTTTNTCAGAAGTAGCTAACTTTTCGCATCTTATAATCATAAGAATTTTCTCAAACATTCAGTATGGATTTCTAGTTCACCTACGACAAACTTTAAGACAATATATAAAAGGGTATTGACGGCTATTCAACACTTATATCATTCTCCATAGATATTTCAATTTCACTTTTTATATTTGTACTTCTTTTTCTATAGTAGTATGGTTGAGTATCCATTGCTTTTCTTTGTCGGAGATATGATTCTCCAACCCATCCTTGAGTATTCCTGTGAAACCAAAAGTTACAATTTGAGCAATAGCGTGGTCAAACTTACCTCGAAGCCTATAGGCGCTAGCTCCCATCAACATTTTGTTGATTACATTTATGACTAGATGACCGGATAGACCATCTATATTCCACTTATGTATGCATGTTCCTTCATAGGTGGATTGAGTCATTTGAGTTTTTTCTTCTCGGGTAAAGAGGCTTAGGATACCAATTTTTCTTCATCTAGTTTTTTGGACTTTATCCTCTAATTTAACAATTTTGTTGATGAGGTCTAGTTTTTTTGGGCATATTTTCTTTTTTTGAGAAATCATTTTTAAAATTGAGGTCATTCTCATATGGTTCATTATGACACTAAAAGTTTAATTACTTAAGGTTCTATCGAAATTGAAAGATTGTTTAGCTTTTCTTTAATTAGAGCAAGTGCCTCTTCTATTGAGCCAAGATGGATTACTTTGTCCAAAATAGCTAGTATGAACAAAAAAAACTTTCCTCAAACTTTTGGGAATCTCACGCCTAGTACTATTTGCAATAGTTTTTTTTTTTTTTTTTTTGTTGTCTTTACTCGATAGGTGTTATTTTACTTGACTGGAGACCCTTTTCTTTAGTGGTCTTTCTTTTTTGTGGATTTGTTATTTGGTTGCGTATGAATTCTTCCATTGTATTCTCAATAAGGGTTGATTCTTATAAAAAAAATTGTATCCCTGTTTATTTATACATTTTCTTATTATAAAAAGTTTGAATTTATAAATGTTATAAAATATACCCCCTATGACTAAGTTTGTCAGCAGGAGATATTGTTGTCTATGATGTATGGAGTAGAACTTTTTTCTCAGTTATTAAATAAATTTTTATTTATATGCGTTAATATGCACATGCTTCCAAAACTTCAACAGAGACAACCAGAGATCCATTTATTTGCTGCTCGGTTCAAGGAGCAAAATGGGGATATTGCTGGCGCTCGAGCCTCCTATCAACTTGTGCATACTGAAATTTCACCTGGCCTTCTTGAAGCAATTATTAAGCACGCTAATATGGAACATCGTCTGGTAAGTTGTCTTAAATAATTTGTGATACATATTGATGCATGCATTTTCTAATTTGGCCGTTGGTATTTCCAGGGGAAGCTGGAAGATGCATACTCTGTATATGAACAGGCCATCGCCATTGAAAGAGGAAAAGAACATTCTCGTGCGTTGCCACTGTTATATGCTCAGTACTCGAGGTTTCTGAACTTGGTATGTTGCTGAAATTGTGGTCCTTGCACTGCTTGTAGTCTATTCACATAATTATCCATTTTGCACTTGATCTTTTGTAGTTTTTCTATATGCTTCTTTATTAGGTCCCATGTCTCCTTCGTGTTTCAATTTTTAAGTCGAGGCTTATAGTAAATGCCCTTTAGATGTTATTCGGCTTAATTGGAGCTTATTTTTTAGTTTGGCTTTTTTTTGTTGGGCCGTGGGTCATTCTACTCCTTGAGTTACGTGCAGCTGATTTCTGTGTCAGTTTGAGGTGGATTCTAGGCATAATTGACTGTTGAAACTTATGACCTTCAATAATATGGTCCTGTTATTTATTTTCCCACAGAGTTAAAGAAGCAAAGAAGCTTTCTTATTTAAGGCCAGAGAAGAACGACCTTTAGAAGACAAAATTTTGGTGGCTGAAAATCTGTGAAAGAAGTATTTTCATAGAATTTATCTTGAATTTAATCGATACTCGTTTTGGTAGTTCTCACAAATGAATATTAATGTTCTCATTTTATTATAATTTCTTTTTCATCAAGGAAATTCGGGTACTTCAAATTTTGTTGTAGCTAGTACTTTCCAGGTGGTTTTAAAAATCTTTTTAAGTTACTGGCCATTGATATTTTTTGGTGATACTGATGTATACACTCGTGAACGGAAATATTCCACAGTTGTGCAAGAAAGTTCTTTCATATTAAAATAAAGAAGCTTGCTATTTTTTGCTTTGGTCCGTGCTCAATTATTTAAGCAATTTTAGTAGTTATTCATGTAGCTAATTAACACAGTCTCTTCTGGTGGCATATGATCAGTTGAAATGGTATTTTTCTTGATTTCTTAAGTGTTGTTTTCTTAGAATCATATCTCTTGATTTTGTTGACAGGTATGTAAGAATGAAGGAAAAGCTAGAGAAATTATGGATAAGGCAGTTGGGCATGGTGAATTATCCAAACCACTCATTGAGGTACTCTCTCTCTCTTTCTTTATTTGAAACATTTGAATTTTACTCTGGTAAGCGTTGTTTTCCTGTGGTTAAATGTATACCTTTCTGCCTCCATGATTCACCCAGGCCTTGATACATTATGAGGCAATTCAGTCATCAGCAAAGAGAATTGATTATTTAGATTCATTAGTTGAGAAGGTAATAGTGCCCAATACAGAGAATGCAACGGTCGTGAGTGCTTCAATGAGGGAGGAGTTATCGAGCATTTTCTTGGAGGTAATATTAAAGCTCTTCATGTTTGCAGGGGAAAAACTTTTGAGGGTAGATAGACGTAATTGCATTAACTATGAAGAATAATGTTCTTGGACATCAGTATACTAGCAATTGTTCATTTGTTTTGGTTGACCTTACATTGAAACAGTTTGATATAAAGTTATCTAGTTACAAAGGTCCCATGTTTTTTCACCTTGAGTTGGATCTCACTCCGTCTCTTTGGAGTTGTCAATATTTCCATAGCATGTATCATATTCTAGTTCAAAACAACACTGAGTTGATGTATGTCGAATGAAGAAATTTCTCATTGGATGATGCTTAAAACTGGAAGTCTGCTCATGCCTGAAATCTTTCTAATGTTTTCTTGATCATAAAATCTCTCTAGCGGTGAACTTTGTTTGGATTGTATTTTACTGAATTCACTAGCGAATGGTTTTGCAGTTTCTAAATCTCTTTGGAGACGTTCAATCAATCAAGAAGGCTGAGGACAGACATGCAAAGTTATTCATTTCACATAAGAGTACATCAGAACTTAAAAAACGCCTGGCGGATGATTATCTAGCTTCTGAAAAAGCAAAGATAGCCAAATCCTATCCTAGTGTTTCTTCACCAGCACAATCTTTGATGGGTGCTTATCCAACTGTTCAAAACCAGTGGGCAGCTGGCTATAGTGTACAACCACAAGCCTGGCCTCCTGTCGCTCAAGCACAGGGGCAACAGTGGGCACCTGGTTACACCCAACCGGTAAAAACCTTTCCATCTTTCACCCTTTTTATTTTCCATACTAATATATGTCATGCAGTTTAAATAACGAAACTTTTCACACAAATGGTCTAATTGCCCATTTTAATTTATTGGTTCCGAAGAAATTACTTCATAATATTTTGTTGTCATCATAATTGCACCTTCACCCCATCAACAAACAAGACTATTCAAAGAGTAAGGGAAATCACCCTGTTTCCTTTGTTATAAGGATTGGGAACTGTGGCTGTAGAAGTGATTAATTTTTGCATATAACTTGCATGGTCGCAAGTGATCCTTCTTGAACTATTCTTGAAGACTGTAGTCTCTTAGTTTTTGTATGTGGAAGGGTGTTTTTTTTTTTTTTTTTAATTTTTTATTAAATATAGTTGATACCATGCAGTCAACTTGTGGAAGGTAAAGGCGAATTCGCTAGTGTTTCTTTTCAGCCCTTCTAATATATATATTCATATCCTTTATTTCTGCCTTTCCAGTCGCATCAATATAAAGTCATTTCGGATATATATTGGGCCTGCTTTAATTTTAAGATTGGAATATTCATGAGCAAACTTGAGGGCATTTTAATGTCCCTAGCAACAGCACGAAAAAGTAATGAACAGAAAAAGAATAACCCTTTGTTTTTCTTCCCATCTACTTGAATACAGGCCTCGTATAGTGGGTATGGAAGCACCTACACGAATCCACAAGTGTCCACATCGGTGTCACAAACCTCCACTTATGCGACGTATCCTCCAACATACCCTGTCCAGGTATTCAATCTTCATGTCTGGAGAGAATTTCATAATATTTGGTTTTTAGTTTCTAAAATTAAGTTTCTAAACACTACTACTACTTCTACCTTTGAGTTCGTTTGAAGTTCGTTTGAAAATCATTGTAAAGAAATTTTGAGAAAACAACCACTGTTTTCAAAAGTCAAATGGTTATCAAACAGAGTATTAGCTAGTTGGTCTCTTTATGACTTAATTCTGAGAGACATAGAACAGTCATCTGTTTTTGGTTTATGAACTATTGTGTAAATTATCAGCCGCAGGCGTATTCTGCTCAGAGTTATGCCCAACCGACCGCTCAAGCAACGATAGCGCCATCGCAGCAGCCAGCTTCAGTCGCTCAGCCATATTACGGGAGTTACTATATGAATGGATGAGAATGGCCATTAGTTTGTTCGTAAACTGTAATCTAAAATTTTCCCCTCGTGTACGAATACGATCTACTACTGATATCCTGTACCTTTGTTTTTCAGAGACATGGGTATGGTATAGCTAACACAAACTAGGGAACAGTTCTAGAATCTGCTTCTTCCTAATTCTTCCTCTCTTTCAATTTTGATGTGCCAATGAGTAGTGGTTTGGATATCATCAGAATTTCCCATTGCCAAGTAGTTATCAGTTATTGAGTTCAACTGACTGTTCTTTTTATGTGGTGCCATTGATGGTTTGTTTGCCATCAAATTTGGAGGGAATTTACAAGCTCTTACCTGTTTTGAATGACGGTTTGTTTGCGAGCATTTTAAAGTCACTTTAAACTTGTTCTTAGTTTTGTCCATTTGTGGAAGAAAAACTTTAAACTCGGTTCGTGCTTCCATCACTAAATTAATGATTTCATACGAAGTTGTATAAGAGACTTAATCACTGAATAGTTAGTTTTCAATAAATTTATAGTCACGAATAGAGTTTTTATGATTAATGATACTCTCGTCTCGACCTGTAATTTGTGTAATTTTTAAATTGGCTAGACGAACATTCAAACAATTAATTAATAAAATATTATATAATTTAAATATTACATTTTAAGAAACTATTTTCTAATATGTCATTATCCAAACAATTAATAGATTTTTTTCATGATTAGATTTACCATATTTATAGAAATGCTATAAGTATTTTTCAGAATTGACAGAGAGGACAACAAATTGTTTTTTCCTTTTTCTTTTTTACGTCATTATCCTAAATTTAAATTATTTTCTATTATTCCAAATGAAACTAAATAATTTATACTATTTTACTCTTTGTTTTAGATATTATGTAATAGATTATTTCTATTTATATCCTAAAAAATCCCATATTTTGATCCTAAACATCTTACCGCAGTAAAAAAGCTGGCTTTTACTGACGGAAGAGGTTTGTCTTGATGGAATCATATCCTACCGGGTCGGAATCGGGTCGGGTGAATGACCCACCCGCCCGAAGAGGGAAGCTTGTGGAGATCTGAGCCGTTGATGGAGTGACGGGGGATAACGTGGCGGTGTTGATGGAGAGTGGAGTCCAGTGATCGAAGGGCCGTGATTTGTCGACGTTTTTTATATATAAATAAAGGCAAATCGTTATAGTCTTGAAATTCTGCAACCCAAAAAAGAGAGGAAATCCCTTTGGCTTTCCCCTTCCATAGATCTGCAGCTGCCTTTGCTTTTGAGGTTTTTCCTTATCGCCATCTCTCCGATCTTCGGTTAACTCATCGGCGGCGCCTTCTCTTTTTTTCCTTGTTCTTGTCGGGTTCTCTTCCCCCTTATATAATCCACGATTCGCCATTTCTATAACGAACTTAAACAGATTTCTTTAACTACTCTCCCTCCTAGGGTTTTCTGCTTCCTTTTTTCTTTTGTCTCCCTTGGATCTACTCATCTTCGTATTTACGCAACTGGGTTTTAGGATTTGGGGATTTTGCATGCTGTTCGCGGTGAACTGAGTTTTACTTTTTTCCTCTGCTTATCTACAGTTGCGAAAATGGCAGCTTACTCTGGATCTGTCAGCGCTGTTCAGGTTTCTATCTTCTTCTATCCTTGCCTTTTTCTAAGTTTCTGTGTGTAAATTGTTGGTTGTGATGAGTGGATTTGGTATTTGAGATGATACAGGTTGGTTCCTACTTTGTGGAGCAGTACTACCATGTTCTTCGGCAACAACCTGACCTTGTCCATCAATTTTACGCCGACGCTAGCACCATGGTTCGGGTTGATGGGGATTCTTCTGAGACTGCTAACACAATGCTGGTACTTCTGGTTTTTCTACTTCTCATGGCCATGTTTCAATTTTCGGCACTAGTGAAGTATAGGCTGATTTGACCATGTTTGAGTGAAGTTATTTGGTTAAGTTTTGGTTTGAGTGGGAAATTTCGTCATTTCTTGATTTTTGTCCTTTAGTTTCTTATTGTTTCTTGCTTCTTTGTTTTGTTCAAAATGTGTTGATCAGTACGTAGTGGTAATAGTTGTTCTTTATAAGGGTTTGAGCTATGAAATATTATTACGGGTTCTTGGATTTGTGGGTTTTTGAATCTTTTACTAATGTTTTACGGTCAAGAAAAGCAGAAATATATACGCCGCTTCTTTACTTGTTTGTTGTGACAAGCTCTGACCTGCGTGACGTAAACAATTGTTACTACTATTTCTCATGTTGCTTACTCTAGCTTTTCTTCTGCAGCAAATACATACACTTATCATGTCGCTAAATTTCACTGCATTTTCAATCAAGACGATCAACTCAATGGAGTCTTGGAATCGGGGTATCCTAGTTGTGGTTTCAGGTTCTGCAAAGTCAAAGGAGTTTAATGGGATTAGGAAGTTTGTGCAGACATTTTTTCTTGCTCCTCAAGAGAAGGGTTACTTTGTTCTTAATGATATCTTTCATTTCATTGAGGAGGAGATAGTTCAGCAGAATCTGTTGCCTGTACCATCAGAGAATAAATTTGAAGCTGAACTTAATGCTCCCAGTTCCGTACCAGAGCCACCAGGTACTTCGTCAATATTGTTGAAGAATTGGCAACAAACCACTTCGGTTTTTAGTTTTACCTATAGATGGAGAAGAGAGAACTATCAAAAGTGCTTCTATCATTGCCATCGATAGTGGATTCTTTTCCCTTCATGTGGTGCATTTGATCTTTTGAAGCAACTTGTATGCATAAACTTTAGAAGATTTAAAAGATTAGTAATAGCTGAAAGTGAAATTTTTTGTTGCTGAAATAGTTTCTACGCAGATCATTAATAGCTAGATTGACTTGAGCAGTTCGATAGGTTAAGTTGATTTTGTTTTGGCAGTTTCCGACTATGTTTTGGAAGAGAATGCAAGGGAGTATGTGGACTCAATTCATATAGAAGATGATCCAATTGATAAATACAGCCTTCCTGAGCAACAGCCACAAGAAGAATTTGAATCAGAAGTTGTTGTGGTGGAGGCCCCTGTGGAGGATTTGGTTACTGCTGCGCATCAAAATGTAGATAACAGCGAACAGGAGCCTCATTCTGCAGTAGTTGATGAACCCGTTGGAGAGCCAGAAAAGAGAACTTATGCTTCCATTGTATGTGCACTCTACTATAGCTCCTATCCTAGTGCTGGTGCCCGTGTCTGTATGCTATGTGTGTATGTGTGTGTGCGCAATGGAAATATGCCATCAAGCCATAATCCTTATTAGTTAGTTTTTGTGACTGACTACAAAATAATCTGTGGAGTTCGGAGTATAACATGGGTATATAACAGAAACGTAACCAAATTGAGGAAAACAAAAGTTGAAAAGCTATATTTATTGTGTTCTTCTTTCATCCTTGTCATAAATTGAAGGCTTCTTAGGCCTCTGTCCTTGTTTCCAGTCATTCCAGCTTAAACTGGGATTGATCTGTGTTACAGATGTGGGATTGTTTTCTTATATGTTGATAATATTATTACTATGTAGTTGAGAGCTGCTAGAGCGGAATCTGCACAATCAGCTAATCCCCAACCGTCATTTTATCCAAGTGCTCCAGCTACTTCCGAGTGGAACCATACTCCAGAACCTGCCCCACAACAGATAAACCCTGCATCGTCATATACCCCAGAATCTGGAGCAGATACATTTGAAGAAGGTTTTGGTGCCGAAGATGAAGGTCAAATTCTTGATTCATCTTTAAATAATGGTGCTTCGATTCTAAATCATTGCAATAGTTTGACTTCATTATTGTTTTCTATTTGTACTTCAGTCTTTATAATGTGGCGTGAGATTATTGATCTTTTGGTTATACCGTGGGATTTTAATTATTTTTTGTTTGTTGTGTCGAGGATCGATACATTCACATGAAATTTTACATGACATATGTTCTTAGGTGTATTTTGTAGTATGCCATTCTGCATTCTGTTTGAACTGTTTATGTGTTTTGAGACGTTGTGAAAGGACTCTTGTACTTTGTGTGATTTTCACTCCCAAAGCATCTGATTAGTTTTGTGTTGTCTTGCCTTCAGGTGAACCAAAATCTGTCTACGTTAGAAACTTGCCGCCCTCTGTTACAGAAGCTGAAATTGAGCAACAATTTAAAGCTTTTGGCAGAATTCTGCCTGATGGTGTATTCATTAGGTCTCGAAAGGTCAGGTTCTTATATATATATATATATATATATTTATGTTTGTTGGTTAGTTTTTATTGGCTAAATATAGATTGCTTTGTACAGGAAATTGGGGTTTGTTATGCTTTCGTTGAGTTTGAAGATATTCTTGGTGTTCAAAACGCCTTGAAGGTTTGGACCACACTTAACCTATTTATCATTTGTTTGTGTTAGCTAGGGACAAACGTTGTTGTTTAGGCATTTGTGATAGAAAACCCAAGTTTGTATAGGGGTCCGCCCCCTACCCTTTCCTATTCTTTGAGTTAATTTTTATTTAATCTTAAAATTTTTATTGCACCTAGTCCTGGTAATTATTTCAAACGGCTTTGGCTTTCTGGACAGTGCTTTGAACGTGCTCGAGTATTCAACACTACTAGTCTTTTCTCTCATGTTGTGTGCCGTTTAGAATTGGTTTTTACTTTTCCCTTGTAAAATATAAGTCTTGTCATATTCTGCTACAGGCATCTCCAATTCAAATAGCTGGAAGGCAAGTCTACATTGAGGAACGAAGGCCAAACAGCAGTGGTGCACGGGGAGGAAGTAAGTGCAACTCTGAGACATAATCAGTTGTATTATATAAGCCAACTCTGTATTGATAATAGTTACTGCAGTCCAGTTTATATATGGTTTTACTTCTACTTAAAAGTAGCAAAATTCTTGCTAATGATGATTTATTTGCATCGGCTCACATGGATGCTTTCTGATGCATTTTATTGGTGCCATGATCAGGAAGGGGAAGAGGCAGAGGTAGTTTTCAGTCAGACGCCCCCAGAGGACGATTTGGGTCTCGTAATTTGGGACGAGGAAGCAGCCAGGATGGCAGTGACTACGGTAGGTTGAGAGGCAATGGCTTCCCTCAGCGGGGTTATCACAAGGTCCAATAGTATCATCAATCATCCAGTTTGTGCATAACCATTTTGGAGACGAAACTGTGTTAGAGTTTTTGGTATGAAGGTGGTTACTACGATTGATGGTTCAGAGAAAGCCAGCGTCTCTGGTGTGAGTGGTTAGGAAATTGGTTTGTACTGTGTTTTGAGTGTGTGAGTTGACGTTACTGGAAATGTTAATTTGTGAGGGATTAATTAATTATTAAGATAAGATGGTGGTGATTTTCTCACTTGGATGGTTTTTGAGATGCAATTCAAGTGGGAAATTTTGGCATTTCTCAAGTACAAGCACTTGTTAGGCAATGTGAGAGACAAAAAGACTTAGAAAATGATCCTTTTCATTAATCTTATACTGAACTTGCTTACTTATGCCCTGCCTCCTCTATGCTATTCTATTCCTTGTTTCTTCACTTTCATTACATTGCAGACATGGAACAACTTTGAAAATGCTTACAGAAGCCAAGAAAAAGCAGCAGCAGCAGGCATTCACTTTCATGTCAAGCTGTTGCAGCTGCCGTGTAAGTCTGTTGCCATTTCTTTTCCTAAGCTGCGTCCATCCTCATATTCTTCTGTTTCCCACAGGAAATTAGCATAGGCTGCTTGCACATGGCTGAAGAATCACGTAATATTACTCATTTGCATCAGAAAAAGCTACTATATCCACAAAAAGTTGTAATAACATTTGATTTTTCAGATTTTTCATGAACTATTCTTGAAGTGGAAATCGTGGAAATTGGAGCCTAGAATGAGGAAACTTCTGATACTTCACATAATATCACCACTGTGTTGAGGATTGAAGTTATGATTTGAGCTTTCATCTTGTAGAATAGTTGAGAGAGTATTAAAGGAATTACCTGTCATGTGGAGAAGCTTGGAGAGCCCGTTGGAAATAGGATGAAGCTTTTTGTTGGTCACGATGCAACTCCCACACTAACTTCGCATATTTTGACAAAATCTCTCCATCTTGGGAACAATCCATTAAAATGGCTCTGCTGTAATACTCTTCCGCTCCTCGCACGTCTCCTTTCCACTGCCAACAAAAACCGAAAGGAAACCCCTTAGATGGACTGGGTGAGTGACAGTAAAGAATAACGTAGAGAGAAATTTAAACAAGCTTAGATCTTTTGCCTGGTACAAGAACTCCGCATAGTTCCTCAAAACCAGAGCATTCCCTGGATTTTCCACTACCATTTTCTTGTAATACTCCTCCATGCCATGCTGCTCACCCCCTCCACCTCCGCCACTCCGCCGTCGACCACCACCACCGCCGCCGCCGCCGCCACCACCTGGCCCTCTCGCCAGATGCATCTCTTTCTGTAAATCACCCACAAACCCAATCCCATCTCCTGAATTCATTCTGGTCCAAGCTTGTTCCATGGCCCTAACCTCCGGAGTTACAATGGCAGCGTCCATCCTGTTATGGACGCCAAAATTCTCCAAGGCAACTTCATCCTCCTCCGGATCAGCATGTTGATCATCGTCTTCGTCATCTTCTTCTTCAGTCCTGGCTCTGGAACCGTAGAAGGAAAACGAAGGTATGGTCTCGAGAATGGAGCGGTTAGGCCTGTGACTGAGTTTATTGGAGGGTTTGAAATTGAATGAATCAAATGAAAAAGGGTCTTCATGGACATCGATTACATCTGAAGCATGAGAAAGGGTAATCAAATTTCCTTCGGAGTGGGTTCTCCGAAAGCCAGTGGGAGCAGCGCGATGGTGGTCGGAGAAAGAAAGGGGTTTATTGTTACAGCGAAAGGCGAAGGGGGAATGGGAGGGGGAAGGGGAGTGTTTCCCGACGGCATCATGGTGGTGATGGAGGTGGTCCGGCGGGAGAAGAGAGCGAAGAAGCGGCGTAGAAGAGCTTCTGAGCAGCATAATTTTGATCGTTGAGTACTGAAATCAATGGAAATATAGAATTGTATGGTGGAAGAGGAAGGAAGGAAGCAAGTATCTGATGCACAGATGAGGAGTGGGAGACCTAAACCTCACGGGAAAACACCCAAAACTTCCCTTTCCTTTGCTTTTTATGATGTTCCCATCTCCATCTCAACAAAAGTAGTATATATCCAGCATTATTTTTGTTAAATTACAAACAAATTTAGTCTCCAAACTTCGAAAATCATTCAATAAACATGTCTTTCAACTTTTAATTAATGATTATTCAATGAAATTCACAAATTTTTTTCATTAATGACTTCAAAATTGTAATTTTATGAGGATTACTATTTCAAAAGATCTATTAAATTAAGGGTTGGAATTTCAAGTTTTGATTTTATATCTTTCATTTGACAAGTCTGCTCAAAATCAGCCGACAATTTTTTTAGGGAAGATTTCTATCGAGAAAGCGCGGCAGAACGATTTTGCGGTGAGCGGCTGAGGGAGCGAAGAACCCACAAGCTGAAAATGCTGGCGAAGAGGTTGCTTTCCATATTCAAGCGCTCTCCAACTCCGAACGCTTCCAGGTGCGTCCTTCTTGTCATTCCGATTTTCGTTTTTTTCTTCTGTTTGTTCACGCTTCCATTTCTCGGATTGTTACGCGAACAATTACTAACTCATCCACGAGCTTCCGTTCAACATGGAATCGATTGCTCGCATTTTTTTCGAAGAGATACATCTAGGTTCTTCACTTTTTACATGTTTTGATCGTATAGCAGGTTTAATTTCCGCCTTATATGTTCGTTTAGAACTTGGAACTGTTTTATTTTGTTTTCTATGGAATGATTCTTACAAGATATTTCATCGATCTGTAACGGATAGAATGAAACTTGGCGATCTCTGATTTAGGGTTGCTTTGCAGCAGTTCCGTAAGGCCATCGGAGGAAGGGGTGAATAAATCCTGGGGTCGCAATGCAGTCTCCTTTGTACTTGTTACTGTTACTGGTGGTGTAGCCTTGAGTGCTTTAGATGACCTCGCCATTTATCATAGCTGTAGCAGGTATGTCTGACTTGTTAGGGATTTTCAAAATTTGGATGAATTATATCGTTTAAGCAAATGGAGGTCTGAATTTGGAGAAGATAAACTATATATCTTGGGATTGCTTTTTATGCAACTGTTTTCTGCCATGTTTCACTTATTAGTGCTTTGAAGTTTAAGGAAACTCTCACCATTGCTATGTTGTTTTCAACCTTTAAAATTGGCTATGGTTTTACATCACTCAGGTCATTGTATTTTTTAAACCAAGCCTTTTCACTTTAGATGAACTAATGAATTGGATAGGATAATATCTCTAATACAACGTGATGTTTACATCATTGCTACCAAAAGCGTTCGGTTATCAACCTTGGGGACAAGAGAATGCAAGAATTCTTTTTCTTTGGTTTCTTTTACCCATACGTACTTTGCTTGCTCTGTTTTTGTTGGGGCTTTAAATCTTTGTTATTGGCCTAGTTACTCAGGTTTTGTGAGGTCCCACGTCGGTTGGAGAGGGGAACAAAACATTCCTTATAAGGGTGTGGAAACCTCTTCCTAGTAGATGCGTTTTAAAACCTTGAGGGGACAATATTTGCTAATGGTAGGCTTAAGCTGTTACAGGTTTAGTACTTTTATGAATGAAATCGTGCTAATAGATGATAGGGCTTCAGGGGCTTTAAGCGGATGCATTTTTTTACTTTAATTTTAGAAGCTCAACCGGACTCCTGCTTACAGTGAATACTCACCAGCACACTTTTGGCTTGGTGTATCTATAACCCGTTTTGACCTGAAAGCCTTTTTTTTTTCTTGGCTTGGTGTATTATATATAACTGAGGTCACCATTTTCAATAAGTTAGCTACCTTTTTACAATTAGAACGAGACCCTGGATTTGATCAATATTTTCAGAATGAATAGGAACATGACTTAGAACCAACTGAACTAGGACTAACTTTCCTGTTTGCTTATCATTCAAAACTTAAAAGGATTGGAAAGTTCCGACAAGAGAGACGGACTTCGACCCACACTCTATCTCCTACCAAATATTTTCTTCACACCGTTGGACATAAAGAAATCCCAATCAGCGAATCCAAAAGATCTCGTGCTTCCTTTTAGTGGATAAACTGAGCTTTTCTAATGAGAGAATACAGAAGAGCATACAAAAAAACGCCCCAGCAAAAGGAGCCAAACTATAACTTGACTAACTATACAAAAAATGGCTCCACCAATGCAAAAGAATAAGGCATCAAGGTCTGATTGTTTCATGGGTTCTTAGATAAACATTTAATATCCTTGTTCTTAGAATATGCTTGCATCTTGCATTGTACCTTAAATACGAAGCTTTTACATGTACGTTTGTAGCAATTTTCTTTTGCAGTTGCTTGCTGGCATTAAAATTATTTGATTTTAATGTATTACTTTTCCAGCAAAGCCATAGAGAAAGCCAAGAACAATAAAGCAATTATAGATGCTATTGGAGAACCCATTGTTAAAGGTCCATGGTACAATGCATCACTTGCAGTAGCTCATAAGAGACATTCTCTATCCTGCACGTTTCCGGTATCAGGACCCCAAGGCACGGGGATCGTCCAACTGAAGGCAGTTCGTAATGGAGGTCCTCGTTCAACCTTTTATTATCTTGTTCTATATTAGTCTTCGGGGCGAGTAAAGTTGGCCTCGTCTTTATTCTTTTTATAATGCTTTTTGAATTGTAATATCTGAACAGAGGAATCCTGGATATCATTTCTCCGGCCACGAGACTGGGACATCCTGATCATGGATGCTCTCCTACATGTTCCCGAAAACGAAGGTAAGCAGCAAACAATGCGTATTAATCTCACTGAGAAGTTTGCCCCTGCTGCTGCTGCTTGTGTCGCATGCACTGATTGTCAGTCTCCGGAGGCAGAGAAGAGATGAAGTCAGCTAGTAAGTTTGCAGCTTCTTATTAGTTTTCTGTCCCGACATGATTTCGAGCTGACCGAAGGATTAAAATATTCGTTATTAGCATCAAAATAATATTTTTCTGTGGACTGCTTCGTCCAAATGCCTTCTAGTTCTAGGTGGAACCAGCTTAGAAGATTATTATCCAACAAGATTGCTAACATCAATCACTCTGTTTTTTATTCCATTTTTTTTGTATGGATAGCGTTCATGTTATGGGCGCTGACATAAACTTTCATTTATACCACTTTGTGAGATTTCATTATATCCATGAGAAGTTATTCTCGTTCGGAGGAAAAAATTACACTTGTTGACGTGCCCGCTTTAATCTGTAACATATTGCTTCATACATGCGTTGCTTGTGAATTATGATACTCTAAACTAAAATTCATGGATAAAAGCTTGGGATGGCAAGTTTTGGAAGTGAAGATGGTATGGAAATTCCCTAGAATGTAGAAGAGCAGTCGCATGAAAATGGTGAATTTCAAAGCTTGAAATGGCCATATACTACGTGCATGCATAGTCAATTGTATGCGACTCTAGCCGACTTGTATCCATGCAAAGTCATATCATTTGGCTCGATCTTGCTTCTACTCTAGGTTAAAGTCTCTCATGTGCAACGCATCGTCTCTATTATCATTTTGGTTCCCAACAACACGATTCATGCATCGTGATAACATCTCATGTCTCAGGATAGCTCGACCATCATGACTTGCTTGGACATATCTATCGGAATCAACCCATGTGTCACTCATCTCATCGAGACATTCGAAATGAACTCTCTTGTGTTTCATATACCAACCTCTGCCACGTGAATCAGGGCACAAAATCCTTGTCGTTTGACGTTCGTCTACACTATTACACACATGTGTTGGATGATATATCGTTCTCTTTGTTCACATTATAATACTTACATAGTCGAATGGGTGCCACCTTGTCAATCTTCTATTAGAGTCCCAAACATTTGAAATTTGAAATTTTAATGTTTAAAAATATTTTTAAAATAAGGTATTCGATTTAGTAAAGATATTTAAGAAAGAAAAAAAAGATTTATAGGCACAAAATTAATAGTTAGTAGAGAGCAAGGGTGGTGAGGAAGGGATTGAAATGGAAGTGAATGGCTCTCGTGGTTACACACCTTACCAATCTTCACACCACACCATTCTCCCCTTCCTTTTGCCTTTTATCTCTCTCTCCCTCTCTCCCTCTCTCTCTCTCTCTCTCTGCTGGCTGCGTTTCAAAATCAATGGCGACTCTGCAATCTCTCGCATCCACTTCCCTTTCTTCTCCCCATCTGCATCATCCTTCATCCACCAACACCAAAGGTAACTCTATCACTCTCTGCATTCCCCTTTCCCCAACCCTAGTTCTCATCATCATCACCAAACTCACT